TCTGCTCTGCTCTGTTCTGCTCTGCTCTGCTCTGCTCTGTTCTGTTCTGTTCTGTTCTGCTCTGTTCTGCTCTGCTCGCTGTTAAGCTTGAGTAAGTTTTTTGCTGCCTGGCCAGCCTTTGTTTTGTTATTTAATAAATTCTTTATTTAAATATATCTGAGCTCCGTGCCTGCCTGCCATCTTCAGTGACTGAGGATTGTCATACAGATTTTCATATAAGTCCTAAAAGTAGATAAAGAGAACACACTTAAACAAATGAGACAAAAATATTATACTTGGTCATTTATTGAGGAAAATTATCCAATATTACATATTTGTGAGTGGTAAAAGTATGTGAACCTCTGCTTTCAGTTTCTGTGAACCCCCTGCGCAGCAATAACTGCAACTATTATGAAACTTTTTTACAATCTAATTTTTTGAGATGCAACTGTAGATGAAACAGAGAAACTATTTTTAATACCATTTTATTTTCACTTGTGTTCTCAATTTGTATGCATCCTTTTATGATTGGCTTTGTTGTCCACTGTTGTCATCACTGTTAAAATCAGGTCTCTATTGTAACCTGTATAAATAAAGGTTGAATGAATGAATAAAACATTTTAAAACAAATTCAGGTGCTTTCAATGTTTTTCTGTGGGGGAACACTTAAAAAAATAGTTGATGCATTGAAAAATATAAAAGGTACAAAAACTAAATGTAACATTACCCATCCCCTGAATGAGCCAAACACTTTGAAATATTTACTTTATTATTAATCTTTATTTAACCAGGCAAATCCCATTGAGATCACAGATCTCTTTTGCGAGGGAGGCCTGGCCCTGAAGGCAGCCCAACATGCATGTTTTTGATCTGTGGGAGGAATTAGGAGTACCCGGAGAAAACCCACGCAAGCACGAGAAGAACGTGCAAACTCCACACAGAAAGACCCCAGGTCCAACCGGGGATTAAACCCAGGACCTTTTTGCTGTGAGGCAACATTGCTAACCACTGAGTCTCAATATAAGTGGTTGAAGGAGGAATATCATGTATGCAGAACTGTTAGATTGTAACAACATACGGGAGGGAAAAACTCAGGTATCCAACTGTGTAAGCGCTAAATCAGTATTCACACAACTAGAGTGAGAAGGTATGTACAGTATATGTCAGACTGTAGTCACCATGTCCTTTTTTAAATCTTTAACAGCTTATTGTGCTTAAATGTTTGGTCTGATCGATTTTTAATCATGGAACACTTTCAAATAATCATAAGTAAACCTATCCTGATGCATGCTCAATTATCCAGGTAAAACAATCTAAGAGTGAAATCGGTTTTGGATGGATTCTTCTTGTTGAAACGTTTCGTCTTTTATCCGAAAGACTTGGATAAAAGACGAAACGTTGCTACAAAAAGAAACCGTCCAGAGGACCTGAATTAAATTCTTTAGCTAAGTAAATCTAGTTTTGTTTTTTACATCTTGTATTTACTTGTGAAGGACAGTGGACGATACCTGATGCAGATGATGGTCCAGTTTTTATTTGACACACTGAATTTTCTGTCGGCTACAAATACTTTGTTGTAAAGACGGTTATTACAGCTTGGTTGAGCAAATTGTGCTTTCAGGCCCCGAAAACCCTCTGTGGATGGTGACCGAGACCTGGTCTGTCCTGTCATCCTCAAACAGTTCAATACTGAGTTCGAACAAGAAGAGGGAAATGTGGACGATGAAGAGGGTCTTTGTTCCAAAGACATTTTAAGGATAGGTAAGACTTTGGTATATTATAAAGTTGTGGTCACAAGTTGCCATATAGTACACTAACCATGAACATGAATATCTTATTAATTTTTTATTTAGTCTTTATACTCCTGTCAAAAGCAGTACATTTGTTTGATTATAGTCTGTCCATCCACCTGGATGTTCATAAACCTTCACTTGTCCAACCCATAACTTCTGATCCGTTCAAGATAATTTAATGAAACTTAATACACATGTCCTGATGCATGCTCAATAATCCAAGTACAAAAAAATCTAAAGTCAGGTCCTCTGGACGTTCAACAAACAAACAAAAATAATGTAGAAACGTTTCATCTTCCATCCGAAAGACTTCCTCAGTCTGAGGTGCTGTATTCAGCTCAGTCTCTTAAATAGCACCTTCTCATAGTGGATCAACCAGTTTTGCTGCTGACAACCAAAACCAGCTGCTCACATGGTCAAGAAGGACCATCAGCCTAACAATGGATCATTAGCACACTGATGGCTGTTTACTATTCACAGAGGGCTGAGTGATACTAGCAATCACAGCATTGTAAGAGGGGGACAGTTGAACCCGGAGGCTCCACCCCTGTTTAATGATGGACGGTTTCTTTTCACAAAGATGGCCTCCTTTACTCCTCTCTCAAACCAACATTCCTCGCTATCTGGGATGTGAGGTCCATGGTTCCTCCCCCAGAAAATTTGGAATAAAAGAGTGTCATGATCAGCGGCTCCCGCTGGCACCCCCATCTGCTCACTTCCCTGCCCCTTCATGACATGCCATGTTTTCTGCCTCTCTCCTTCATGTTTTGTTTATCCCTCAGCTCCTGTCATTGCTCACATCTGCTCCTGTCAGTTAACAGTTCACCACACCCCCTCAGCCTATCACAGCAATCAGCCCTGATTCCACTCACCTGTTCAGCTCATCTGGTTCACCTGCTCTGCACCCTTTATAAACTCCATTCTCCCTCTCCACTGGTGCCGAATTATTACATCACTCATGGTCCCTGATAGTGAAGCCTTCTATCATATTATCTTGTATCCTTGCCTTGCCTTGCCTTGAACTCTCGCCTGTTTCTTGACTCCTCTCGTTGCCTACCCCTCTTGGATTTGTCTGCCACTCTGGCCACGGTAACGGACCCTGTTTCCTCTACTAGACCACGCTTCACGGATTACATTTTTGGATTTTGTATCTGGACCTCTGCCTTCCTGTTCATGACCCCTGCTCTGGCAACCGGACCCCGTTATTGGATTTGCCCCTCAAACTACGTTTTTGCAGCTGCTCTGCACAGAACCAGTGACATCACTGCTGCAATCTTGACAGGTGATTCTCACTCTCCATCTGCCTGTGAAGACTGTCAACTCAGCTGATCCTGACTTTGCACCCACAGTCTATAATAAATAAAAACTGTACTTGTTTTTGCACTCCTGTGTCTGGCTATTTTGAATCCAAAACCCTGGTTCGGGACAAAGAGATGCCATTTCCTTCATTTTGGTATATTTTAACAGGTTGTTAAACATCTGTAAACTTTTGATTAAACTGATTAAAAACAGAAATGACGAGGCTCAATGAGTCCAACAACCTGTATAAATATAGGTTAAATTAAAATTACTATTTTAGAGAGCAATGAATTATAGCAGCTGCGATTCTGTCAAGCATCACCCCCCACACACACACACAAACTTCAATGTCCGACCTGAACTCTTCTCAGCTGAATTCAGTCCTGCGTGTTATTCTGCTCCAATATCTATTGCCACTGTCATGCGCTTCAATTCTAAGGACAATCCATTTATTTTAGATAATAAACTGGACTGTCTTTTCAACATTTTGATCGCTGTTATTTTGACTAATTGATCTGAATAATACACATCAAACATTTCACTTGTATTTTTTTTACTGTAAGCTTTTTTTTAATTATCTTTGAAATGTATGCAGGAGTTCTGACACATTGGCAGTTGCGTGCACTTCGCAGAGGTGTCTGGAGACGCTTCTGTGCTTAAAACGTGCACTGTCTGCAGGGCGCACAGCTGAGCAGGTGAAGCTGACGCCCCACTCATGTCAAAAATTCCAGTAAATACAGTGAGTGGTTAGTGCTACGTTTGTGCTGGTTTGTGCTGTTAAAATGTTTGTTTGTGCTGCTTTGGTTACTGAGACACAGCTGAAGGTGGACGAATATGCTTCATCCCTGCGGGACATGCGGTCAGAGTCTCTGCTGACAGTAGCATGTGTGCGAGCTATTGCACCTGCTGCAGCAGTAACATCCACAAAGACATGGACAACGTCTCCTCTCGTTGTATTTTTAATAAATAATCAAAATAAAAATGTGCGATGACTTTAGACTTTTATGGGCGGAGATATGAGCTGACGGATCCAATTGAACCGTTGCCGGAATGCACATGGCGAAAATGAGGGAGTTCCCGGATCTTGTTCCGGCAGGATCCGGCTCAAATTAACCACTGCCTTTACTATAAAGTTGAGGAAACAAATATTTTTTTTAGGTGGTTATCTTGTTAAATTTCAAAGAAATGCACAGCAACTCGTCCCTCTGCGCATGCCTGATTCCGTGAATTGTTTTTTTTTTTTCTAGAATTGCGCCACTCAAGGTAGCTGCATGTTGGAGTAGCTCTGTTACTTTCAAGTTGAGATATTACTTTTGAAAACTTTAATTCCTCTTTTTTCTGGATATTAATAGCTTTTTTGGATGATTATTTCCTCTGGTTTCGGATGCTGTGCAGCTGGAAGGATTTTTTACAGAAATATCTTTGCTTTTGGACATTTGTTATGATGCATAACCATAACAACAATGTTGTTTTTTACAACCGGGAGCAGCTGATTAACATCTCCAAAGCTCAAATAATATCTCAACTGCAGCCCCAAATCCCAAATGAGTTGAAAAGGAAGCGTCGTGGATGCAGAGCAGGAGCAAAGAAGAGGGAGAAAGAGAGAAGAATGAAGTTTAAACCATCTCTTCCATCGATCATGATGGGCAATGTGAGATCACTGGGAAACAAGTTGGATGAACTTCAGGCCCTAAAAAGGACCCATTCAGAGTATCAGGAATGCAATGTTATGTGTTTTACTGAGACATGGCTGCAGGATCATATCCTCGACTCCAGCGTTTCTCTGCCAGACTTTCTGACCATAGCAGATATAGATTTAAAGATGAGTAGCAAAAAAGGAGGTGGGTTGGCAGTGCTTGTGAACAACAGATGGTTGGACATGTTACTGTGAAGTGTCGTCTCTGCAGTCTAGATATTGAACTGTTAGCACTAAGTTGTCGTCCATATTATTTGCCAAGAGAGTTCACCAGTGTTATTTTGGCAACTGTTTACATTCCACCCATTGCTGTTGCTGAGACTGCGTGTGATGTTCCGAGGTTGGCAGGTTCCGAGGTTGGCAGGTTCCGAGCTCCGAGGTTACTAAGCTACAGACACAACACCCTATTGTGTTTGTTGCAATATCTGGTGATTTTAATCATGTCTTTCTCTCTGCTACACTTCTGACATTCGAACAGTTTGTCAGCTGCTCTACCAGAGGAAACAAAACGCTGGACTTTATTATGCAAATGTCAAGGATTCATACATTTCTAAAGCAAGACCCCCTCTTGGCAAATCAGATCACAATCTTGTGTTTCTCTGCTCAAAATATAAACCCCTTGTTCAGAGGCAACCTGCAATAAAGAGAACAGTGAGAAAATGGTCAACGGAAGCTGAAGAAGCCCTGCGGGGTTGTTTTGAGGCTACAGACTGGGATGAACTGTGCCAGCCACATGAAGAAGACATCAATGCCATGACTGAGTGTGTGACCAACTATATAAACTTCTGTGTAAAGAACACCATCCCCACCAGAACGATGAGATGCTTCCCCATTAACAAACCCTGGATCACCACTGATCTGAAGGAACTGTTAAACCAGAATAAAAGAGCCTTCAGGGAGGTAGACAGGGAATTATTGACGAGTACACAGAAGCAACTAAAAGTCAAGATAAGAAACGGCAAGGAGGTGTACAAGAAGAAGCTGGAGAGCAAGCTCCAGCAGAACTATATCAGAGAGGTGTGGTCAGGGATGACAAAGATCACAGGCTTCAAGCAGAAGGAGGATCAGAAGGATGGAAACCTAGACAGAGCCAATGAACTGAACACGTTCTTCAATAGGTTCAGTTCAGGAATAAGCTCAGCGTCCTCCTCGCTTGCCCACAGCCAAACAGACCTACACCTTCCTTTGACCCAAGGCTGTCCTGTCACACCTCAAATATTTTATCTACCACCTCGGTCATGGACCCTTCTTCTTCTACATGTTGGTCTTCAAAAAAATCGGAAGATACTGATACCTCCTTTGCCTCCCCCCTCTTTCTCTCTAGAAGTCAGGTGAGGAAGCAGCTGGAGAGACTGAACCAGAATAAGGCTGCAGGTCCAGATGGTGTCAGTCCCAGAGTCCTGAAGGTCTGTGCAGAGCAGCTCTGTGGGGTTGTGCAACACCTCTTCAACCTTAGCTTGACCCAGTAGAAGGTTCCAGTGTTGTGGAAAACCTCCTGCCTTGTTCCAGTACCAAAGAAAACTCACCCATCAGTCCTCAATGACTATAAACCTGTAGCCCTGACATCCCACATCATGAAGGTCTTAGAGAGACTTCTGTTATCCTGCCTGACTAAACAAACAAGCACATATCAGGACCCACTGCAGTTTGTTAATCGGCATGAATTTTGGGTTGAGGATGCCATCATACACCTCCATCCATCCATCCATCCATCCATCCATCCATCCATCCATCCATCCATCCATTCTCTTCCGCTTATCTGGGGTCAGGTCGCGGGGGTAGCAGCCTAAGTAGGGAGGCCCAGACTTCTCTCTCCCCAGCCACTTGGGCCATCTTCTCTGGGGGAATCCCAACGCATTCGCAGGCCAGCCGAGAAAACATAATCCCTCCATCGTGTCCTGGGTCTTCCTCTGGGTCTCCTCTGGGACGTGCCCGGAACACCTCACCACGGAGGTGTCCAGGAGACATCCTAA